CCATTACACAAATCATTGTGTGACCAATTTTCAATTCGATTTTAAATGTGGAATTCTAATGTTGAACTTGTGGAACCTTCAATATCTCTTTTTGTTTATAAAAATAGAGTAAAAACCAAACTGTTGATTTTAAAATGTATAATTTAAGTGATTTTAGGTTTTTGCCATTTCTGTGTGTTTTGATGGATTTTAAATTTTATTTTGATGTTGGTTTTTATATTGATTTTGTTTCTTTTTGTTATTTCTATTTGAGTGGTTATTTTTATCCTATGGTTTTTTACTGTTGTGTTGTAGTCTGTTTTGATTGGGAATGGTTTTTACATGAGCCTATTCAGGCTTTTACCCTTTCCAATGCAAGTGAAATATGTCGTTTTAAAATGTTGTTGTGTTCTTTTTGTTTTACTTTTTGTGTGTTGAATAAAATCAAAACAAAGTCAGATATTTTATCCTGTTCAAACTATATTTCCAAACAAAGCCAACATGATGACACACAGCACAGACACTAATGCACGGTCTTATGACCGTCACCACYGACACCTCTGAGTCAAAAACACGGCACTGACAGAGACCTGAAAGTGTGTGTGTGTTTATGCAAATAGCTTCATTTGTGTATCTGTATTTATGACGTGACATTTCCATGCATCAAGAACACAAAAAATAAGCACTTTACTGTATAGATGCGTTTGTTGATAATAGTTTGTGTGCTTTCATTGTTTCTGCACGTTGTGGATCACAGGAAGTGAAAGAGGAAGCTGTAAGGTCATGTGACCTGACTGACAGGCGTGCCTCTGCACAGGAAGACGGAACCCCATTCAATGTGTTTGTGCCAAAGAACATGCAGATGAACACACTCGTTCACAACAAAACTAAAAGTCTTTTAACTCAAAATTATAATTATAATTATAATTTCYTCAAAAGACTCACATCACATGTTCTGCCTTCTCAGCTTTGAGTGTATCAGAGCTGAAGTGAGGCCATTTGTGTGCCCATGTGTTCATGTGGTATGTGTGTTAGTGGGTCGGGAGTGGCAGCCTCAGAAATAGCCTGGCCGACACAGAGTGTGTGAGTGGTAAGGAATGACGAAGGAAAAACTAAAAGGAGCATCAAAAATAGGAGATGTAAAAAAAGAAATGATGCTAAATCATAAAAAAATACATATTTCCTGAAGGATTTCCCAAACAATGGAGCTGTAATTTGGTAGGATTTGATTACGGCTCAGAAAACAATAGTTTTTGTGTTGATGTTTACAACACAATGAAAAGCCATTTTCAATAAACCTACAGGAAGTGATAAAACGGTTTTTAACTTGCCCTGAAAGCAAAATTTTGTATTGTCTGATAAATTTAAGGAGTTGTCTACATTTGAGCTCATTGTCTTCCCCTCTGTTATGGACCTTTTCCAACTTCTGAGGGAAATGTGTCAGTGGAGCAACTTGAAATGCATCTTCTGTATGTTAATAATACAGAAATATTTAACTTGAAAGACATTTTAAATCGCCCAAAGCACAAATTGTGTAAGTTTGAGGCATCAGAAACCTTTGACCYCATGCAAAGTTCAAACTCAGACACAGACGACTGCAAGTTTGGGATTATTCTTGAGTTTTCCCACTTCCTCCTATTTTGTCATTCCTCATCTGAAAGGGTCAGACTTCTTTAAGTGACCCTGTTTCTAAATACCTGCAAACCACATTTACAGCTGATCAAATTCTTGATGGTGATGGATGACTTATCAAGGTGCTGTTGAACCGATTATGTCATCTGTAATCTCAACAGATAAGAGGGCCAAGTAAAGAAAGAAAGAAAGAAAGAAAGAAAGAAAGAAAGAAAGAAAGAAAGAAAAGTAAAACGTCATTTATTTGTTTTGAAGTAAAGTCAGCTCAGATATCAGCTGTTTTGCCAACACATTCTCACTCCCGAGTCGTCACATATTGACGTTTTTCAAAGGTCCCTTTG